GAGTTCATCAATCAATCACACTGAGCTTGTCAACCTGGCTTCCTGAATCTATTTGAATAATCAATTCTCTGAGAAAAAGATTAACAAGATCTCTTCTAAGTAATTAATGACAGAATCTAAACAGCATCATGACAGCTTCAGTATGAAGAAAGTAAAGAAGAATTCTAAGTATTCTGATTCTTCACTCACTGTAAAGAAACATCAAAAAAGATTTGATAAAGATCTCTGTTTCAACTGTGAAGCTGATGATCACTATGTCAGTGATTGCAAGAAGCTGAAGAAGAGAAGAAACTGAGAAGACATCTTCTTGAAGTCAACTTCTCTTCTGACAAATGTATCCATGAAAGATAAAGAAGAGAAAGAAAAGAATTGACAATTCTCACATCTTCAAGTTCATATTACAATCACAATGCATACTCTGAATAAGAAGATATCAGTGAGGTGTCTACTCAACTCCAGAGTGAATGCCAACTTCATATTCTATTTCTTTTCTTTGATGAAGGATTGAAAGAAGATAGACTCATCAGACCATGCAAAATTTACAGATAAAATAAAATATCACTGTTTTGACATAATTCAAGCAAAGTATGTAGTCACAGACTCAGAAGAAATCTTTAAGAAGAGCAGTCTGCTTCTTCACACAGTCAATATCATAGATGAGAACATCATTCTAGGTCTTCTGTAGTTGAGAGAAAACAATCCTCTCATTGACTGAGTCACTCAGATGTGATAGTATCATCTCACTGATGAAGAGACAGTGATAGAGGAATCTGAAGAGTTTCATCAGAAGAATCTTGAGAAAAAGATTGAGTCAATATACTGTGTAGCAGGTGATTGAGACTTGAGAATAGATAGAGAAGTCATCATTCTCACTGCAAGATTAGCAGCAGTATTCATCATTGAAGGCAGATGTATACAATGTCTCTTTACAGATTTTAAGAATGTCTTTTCAGAAAGAGAAGCAGTGAAGTTTTCTGACATCAAGATATGATATAAGATTTATCTTGAAGACAGTGCAACAGTGCTGTACAGGCCTCTTTATAACTTATCTGTAAAGAAGTTGAATGTTCTGCACAAATATCTTGAAGAAGTGCAATCAAAGAACTGAATATATTTATCAAAGAGTCTGACAGAGACATCTATACTCTTTGTACCTAAGAAGAATGATAGGCTACATCTATGTATAGACTACAGAGGCCTCAATAAGATGACAGTTAAGAATCACTATTCATTACTATTAATTAACAAGATGATTGATTGATTATCTGAAGCAAAGATGTTCTTGAAGATTAATATACAGAATGTCTATCATAGAATCAGAGTTAACAAAGATAATATTTGAAAAATAGCTTTTCATACTAAGTACAGCAATTTTGAATATCTTGTTTTATCTTTTAATCTTTGTAATACTTCAGCCATCTTTCAGACCTATATAAATGAGGCACTGTGAGGCCTTGTTGATGTCTCCTGCATAGTATACCTGAATGACATTTTAATCTTCTCAAAAATGAAGGAAGAACATGATATCCATGTTCAAGAAGTATTGAGTTGCTTAAGACAGTATCAACTCTATATAAACACTGAAAAATGCTCATTCTACATGCAGAAGATTGATTTCTTAGGTTATATTGTTGAGATGAATAGCATTTCAATGAACAGGAGTCAGATCTCTGTCATTGAGAACTGGCCAGCATTGCAGATGTATCATGAGATGCAGATGTTTCTAGAATTTGTGAATTTCTACAGATGATTTATCTATGCATATTCACAGATTACTGCCTCCCTTACAGATCTGTTGAAGAGAAGTGTGAAAGACAGGAAAACAGAACTGTTTATCCTCATTCAAGGCACTGCTCAGGTATTTACAGAATTGAAACAAGCTTTCACAGATGTTATGATGCTGAATCACTTTAATCCTGACTTACTCAGTCAGTGTAAGACTGATGCATTCAGAAATGAAATCTGTGAAATCTTTTCACAGTTGATATCAAAGACCTTTCAATATTGAAAGAATCAGAGAATAATCATTTCTGAGAAAACAGACAATGAATTGTCTGTGAGAGAAGACTTTTTCACAGAGTCTACAAGATGCTGTGAATGAAGATCAGTGACTTTCTTCTTCAAGAAGTTATCACTCATACAGAGAAGGTATGATACTCATGATCAGAAGATGTTAGTAATTGTCAAATTCTTTAAGATCTGGTGACATTATCTTCAGAGTAGTAAGTACTCAGTGCAAGTCCTCACTGATCATGCAAATCTGTGTTACTTCTTGACAACAAAGAGCTTGACAGAACATCAAGCCAGATGAGCAGAGCTGCTTTCAGAGTATGATTTCTATATCTGATATCATTCAGGTCAGCTTAACCCTGCTGACACACTGTCTAGACAGCCTGATTATAATATCATTGATGCAGAGAAGAATTCTATAAAAGAACCTCTGTTATCACTGCAGAAGAAGCTGACTGCAGAGAATTGAGATTCTCTAAAGCTCAGAAACAGCACTGGAGAGACAGCTGCATAACTCAGTATAGAAGATGAAAGAGAACTCAGATCCCTGCAGAGAACTAACACTGAAGATCATGAGCTTCTTATATCACATCTTGCAATCATTGAATTAGCAAAGGATGAAACAGTCTACAATCTTTCAATCTGACTACTTTTGAAATTCATTGATAAGTTACAGAAGAGGAACATCTCTACTGCAGCTTGAATTCAGAAGTTGAAGAAGAAAGAATTCAGTTTGAACTTGAAAGAGACAGACTCTGAGCAGAGCAGTGTCACTAAGAAATCAAGTCACTGATAACTAGAAGAATGTGAACTTCTACTGCTGAATGATTCAGTCTTTGTTCCTTGTAGCAGAGTGATGTGTCAGAAGTTATTAAGAATTTATCATAATAATCCTCATGTGAGGCACTTCAGATTAGAGAAGACTGAGAAGCTTCTAAAATGTAAATACACTTGAGACAAGCTTCAGACAGATGTTAAAGAGTATGTTAAGACTTATAATATCTGTTAAAGAATAAAGATTCTGCAGTATAAGCAATACAGCAAGTTGACATCACTGTCTGTTTCAAAGAGCTCATGATAGAATCTATCAATGAATTTCATAGTTGATCTGTCAAAGTCAACAAGAGTCAAAGAATATGACTCAATTTTGGTCATTGTTAATCACTTCACAAAGATGATCAGATATATTCCTACTCACAAAAAGATTAAAGTCTCTGAATTGACTGATCTGTTTTTAGATATCATCATTCATGATCACAGTGCTCTGAAATCATTGATAATAGATTAAGAATCTCTCTTTATCAGCAAGTACTGATTGGCTTTTTACTATCATCTTATAATAAGGTATCTTCTCAGTACTGCATTTCATTCACAGATCAATAGTCAGACTGAACATCAGAATCAGACACTAGAACAGCATCTTCAAGTGTTCTATTTATATTATCAGAATGATTGATTCAAACATCTTCTGATTACTGAATTTGTATATAATAATGTAAAGAATGCAATCTTAAAGATATCTTCTTTCTATGCTTATTATGAATATAATTCTTCATTACTCAGTGATGTCGCGGACAACATTTCAAAGAGAGGAATAGACAGTCAGAATGTCAGACAGATACAGAGAACAGAGTATCTCTCAGTGTCAGAAGTAAAAGTGAGATTGAAACTTTTGAACAAAATTCATGAGAAGATGATAAAAAGTATTCATCACACTCAGAAGTAGTAGATGAAATACTACAATTGAAAACATCTTTCAATGAAGTTCTTAATAGAGAATCAAGTACTACTTTCAGTAAAGAATATTAAGATAATAAGACTGTATAAGAAGCTCAGTGAGCAGTGACTAGAATCTTTTCTAATAATAAGAGTGATGAATAAGCAGACATATAAGTTGAAATTACTCACAGAATTGAAATCAATTCATTCTGTTTTTCACATTTTCTATTTAAAGCTCTATAAGCAACACTCTGAGATGAAGCTGTCTCAGCTGAATAATATCAAGATCAAGAGTGATACTGAATATCTTATGAAGAAAATATTGAACAAGCAAACATATTACAGCAAGCTTCAATACCTTGTTAAATGAGAAGATTATTCATTATCAGAGAATTCATGAAAATCACTTAAGCATTTGAAAAATGCTGAGAAAGAGATTGCAATCTATGAGATGACTAGTAGAGATCATCTCATTACATGTCAGAGACATTGAGCAAGAAATATCACTTAAGACTTCTCATTTTTTTTAAAGAGTTTTTTAGAGATAATCTCACAGTGATGAGTTAGTGTCTTGTAGACTCTATAGCACTCTTCTTCTATTTTCTCTCAAAGGGTTTTTTAGAAGTTTAATGAGACTACACAAGTGTAAAATTCCTGAAGTGATTAATAAGGAAAAGAAAGAGATATTTGAAATCAATAAAAAGATTAATATTAATTGACTCATAAGTCACTGCTAACCTAATGAGGCTGCAGCCTGCTGAAAAAGTAAAAAGAGGGAATCTCAGAGTCTACTCATTAATAATCACATTCTCATCAAACTCATTCTTCACTGTTGAAGTCTCCAGCACTGATATCTTTATCTACTGAGAAGTTAGCACTGCAGTGCTGCAGAAGAGTATGAGAAATGTATAAAATATCAACTTATCAACTTATAAAGCATCTCAGTTATCTGCTTCAGTTGAAGTGAGATTCTCTTCAATCAGTAATTGATCTCTGTGACACTTTCAACAGCAGTGCTGACTAATCTCTTCTTAAGATCAGTCATTCTGAGGTGTTTTTTCATCTCAGAGACTCACACTTTCATCTTCTTTTACAGATAAGTAAGAGAGATCTTCTCAGCCTTGACAGAATCTATCAATGCTTGAAGCTCTGAGACTCTCACTCTGTACTGCTTGAGTATCTAGACTTCTTGTCAGAACTGACATAACATCTTTCTATGAAGTAATACTTACAGAGAGACAGAAGTTGTTGTTACAGATATAACAGAAACAATGAGAGTGAGAGAAGAGATAAATGCATAAAATCTCTTTCTTCTTCAGCTGCTTAACACAGTGCAGACAAGTAGCAGTGCTGGCCAGAGGCTGCACTGAAGCCTTCTCACAGAGAGAAGACAAAGGAACTGTGGGACCCTGTGGACCCAACTCAGCAGCATTCTGAGCAGGGCTCGAGCGTGCTGCAGGAGGGGAACTACAGATTGAGCTCCTTGAAGCCACTGTCCCCAGAACCAAGCTCTCCTTGAGTTCCTCTCTGAATGACCACACGGGGTCATACACCACTGTATTGGCTGGGAGGGGGGGTGGCGTCACAACAGCGGTGGGGGGGGCAGAGGACAGACCAGACGCAGATGCACTGACTGGCAGAACCACCGCGGCCACAAGAGAAGCAGGAGGAGGTGTGGCAATGAGAGCAGTGCTCCCGCGGCTCATTGACACCACTGTCTCCAACCTGGCTTTCTTGATGGCCACAGAGGCCGCTGCCGCACCATGAAGACATTTACCCACTAGAAAACATCAGAATAAGCCCTTGATTGTCCTCCAAGAATGATACTCCCATGCACTCACTATTGCAATTGAGGGGGGGGGAAGAAAAATGTTTCACAGAGGGGGGGATCTTTTCAAAAAATCCTGCCACTACTGTCAGCTTTGTCCCTAAAACACACCACTTTTGCAGGGAATTTCATACATAGAACAGAATATGATGAGAGATCTGCAAGTCACTTGTTAACTACATTTTCTCCATCTTAAATTGATATATAAGAAACCCACTTACCATGTGTTTGATTTGAATGAAGATGGGAAAAGAAAGACCTACACAGTCAGCAGAATAACTCATCTATTTCTTTGTATCACACACAGTACACACACTGTCAATCAGTTGACAACTGTTGCTATACAACAAAGATAATTCCTAATTCAGTAATCTTGAGAACATAGGAACTATGCTCTTAAGGAGGAGGGCATTGTCATGCTCCTGACTGTGCCAAGGCCTTATTACAGTTTCACACAGCTCATCACTTCCATGCGGATGATTTCATCTCATTCAAACTGGTTTTCAACCACTCTATGACATCATTCAGATATATCATAGAAAGATCTGATTGATGAATATGAGAACCTCACTTCTATACAAGGTCAGCAGATTACTCTTTCTTAGTAATGAGATGCTGCTGAGGTATCACTCCAGCTATTCTTGCTCATGGAATGAGAGAAGGGTATCTGCCCATTGTCTATATAGAATAGCTAGATGCTGGCTCCTCATCAAAGAAGTCAGTGATTCATTTTACTACTACTGAAATATACACAAGAGTTACTGCATGCCTCATACAATCTTCTTAGTATACTAAGTATCATATCTGTAATATCCTTGCAATAACTCTGTAGCCTATGAGCTCACTATTCAAGCAAGATAGTCAAGCCCACTCATACAGCTTCCCAAACAACTACCCCTACGTGTCGCCGCCGACTAGCCACCGCTTCGGTTCCGCCACGTTACACAGTGATAAGAATATTCTAATAAGATAAATGAGTTCACTTGAGAATTATCTAAGTAGATAAAATATCTGCAGAAGCTGAGACATAACTTTTATACTATAAATTCTGATAAGTCAGAATGACACAGTCTTCACTAAGAATCTAATTATAATAAAGATATTAACACTGTTATTTATAAGCTTTAATCTATAAAATAATGAGTTTCTACTGAAATGAACAGTTCATGATATATATAAGAAAAGAAGAAATCATGCTCTCATTAAAGTTAAAAAATAAGAAAATAAAAACAGAGTTATGAATATAATTTAGAGATTAATAAAGAAAAAATAAAGAAAACTTAAATTTATATTCTTAATATCTGTGATACTCAATTCTCTCATAACTATCACTTTCTCTCTTTAAAGAAGTAGAGAGTATTATATCTGTGATACAGACAATTGTTATATTTAACACAAAGACTGTCAGAAATGCATAGACTTCAGAAGACTTATATATCAGAATATACATAATTGTAACAGAATCTTGAGAGCTGATTATCTATGTATGTAATCAGATATCTCTTACAAAGCTGTGTTCACTCTCTCAGTTATACTGAAGTGTTCAGTCTGAAAATAATTGAGATATAGAGAGAGAACTCATCTGTTCAGATCAACTTCTATTATAAATTCATAATATTCATATTATCTTGATTATCTGAATTTTGCAGATATCTGAAAATCTATCTCTCATTGATAATAAGATTGCAGAAATGCGCTGCAGCACAAGAATTATTGATAGTAAATCTAGACATATTCATATATATCTGATCAGAGATTGTACAGACAGAGAGAAGATGATTGTAGACTTATAAGACTGCAGAAGATACTGATAATATCAAGAGCTTTATAAGAACTATTAGCTAGAGTCTGTAAGAAATTACTTATAAGAAGACTTACAGTAAAGAAGAGAACTGTGCTGCTTGAAGTCAGAGACTAATCTGAAGAAGACATGAGATTGACTGCTGATCTGAAAATCAGATACAGTGACAGAGCTGAAAAGAGTGAAGACACTGTTATAAGCAGTGATATCTCTGCTTCATCAGCTGATAAAAAGTGATTAGAGAAGTTATAAGAACACTTACAAGAAGCTCAGCAGTGATTAGACATCATTTATAAAGATATTGAAATTGAAAAATTTTTATTCTTAAGAAGTTCTTGAATTAATATATAAATATTGTTAGAAATACTCTCTCTTTATCATCTGAGTGAAAACACTTCACAGATGAATGAGAATACTCACAGTTTATAAGAATAAGAGCTGTTACAGAAAAAGAAAAAAAAAGATAAGATTCTATAGATAGATCTGAGATATTTATACTACTTTAGAAAGATTTACTTACACTGTGAATAATCTCATAAAATAGTTAGATTACTCTAATAAATAAGAGTGATTATGAATTACAGATCTGAATCTTTTTATATAATTATAAAAAGTGATTATAGATTATAAATATCTTGATTCTACAATTCTACAGAGTTAATTAAAGAATGAAAAATTCCTTATAATTCTACAGTATCAAAGAACAATGATTTATAAGAATAAGTAAAAGATTAACTTATAAATACTTCTCTTTAATAAGAATAATCTCACAGAGAGTGATTCATCTGTGAGATGAATCTGTGTAATAATTACACAAGAATCTTGTGAAAATAATTAAGAGTTAACTGAAACTCTTCTATATAAAAGATATAAGATAAATCTGTGTAGTAGTCAGAGAAGAATCTGTAGATTATAAAGAATTTTATAAAATAAGAAACTGAGTAACAGACTCTTTTTTCTTTATAATAATAAGGGATTTTTTCTCACTGAGGTTTTTTATAGATATAAAGAGTTTTTAGTGAGTATCACTGCAGTGCTGAGCTGATTTTATAAAGTCACTTAGTAAAAGACTTCACAGATAAAGTCTTAGAGAGAGAAAGATATATAAGAAATTCTGCTTCTCATGAATTCTTTATCTCTATTTCTATCTCTTATGTAATTAATAGAGCTAGCAGCTCTTGACTATACACAACTATATAGACTGAAGTTCATGAATACTATTCATAACTTAGCTTGAATACTATTATATATTTAATCTCTATATTTTATCTTTCTATCATAAATACTTCTAGTAGTTAACAGTATATATCACGCCAAGCTGCAAACACTCGAATAATCGCCTGCGAGCACTTATTCTTACATATACTGAAGTTATAATTAAAGATTCTAAGACTAAGTTCTTTTATAAGAAATATATCAATGTGGTTTGGAAGAACATACAACCGTCGGATAATAACGCGGCTGCTTCCGAACTTGCTTACAAATGTAAAGGGGTCATAGCGGCCACTAATTAATTTAGTATATAATATATAAGAAGTCAGTGTACATCTGTAATTATATGCTAAGACAGCAATCTTTGAATCATATCTGATAGCATATCTAAAAACTGATAAGAAGCACAGTCTTCTTCAGAGTGTGATAATTTCATCTATGAAGTGATTTATAGTTATTATATCAGTGTGATTCTAGAACATCTCAAAAGATAGTGTATAAAGAGTGATAAGTAAAAGAGTATCTGATTGATACTGCTTCACTTGTTAAAGAAAAACTCCACACTCAGATGAATATCATGTATGCAAATGAATGAGATGTGAGAAAGAAGATAAGAGCAGTGAATCAGATTCAAAGAAGTCTGCTCTCTACTCAAAAGAAGAATAAAAAGAAGAGAGAAATAATTATCACTGAAGTTATACAATGATAACAGAAATCATATAATAATACAGTGATATAGTGATAGATATTATACAATTAATAAGAAATCACTGAAATGAATATCTCTTTTAGTTAATATAAATAACATTCTTCTCTGCTATCTGAACTGGAAGATATACAGAATCTCTCAGAGAGTTTACTCAAAGTAGTAAGAAAAGCAGCTGAGATCACTGAACTGAAATCAAAGCTCTGTACATGTATGAGAATTCTAAACAAAATTAAGACCTTGTGTATACAGTGACAGACTGAGATAGAAGTTAAATAATAATTGATATTCACTGCAGATTAAGTATTCATGATGAAGAGCTTTACTGATATAATTATTATCATTAATAAGAATAGAGAAAATCAGGTCTTAGATCTGCAGTAAGAGATTAAATGTTTATAGATAACTACACTGAATCTGAAGATTTTATTATAATTATTCACAATCTCTTCAGAAGTATATATATTATTGAAGATCACTGTGTAGAATGAGAATCTGAATATGAAATACATTAAGTTAGAAGATCTGTCAGAGTTATTAAGCTTCAATAATAACTGAAAAAATAATACTGCAATCAGCTGACTAAGTCAGATGTGATTATATTATTAAATTAAACATGAACTTACAGACAGACAGTTAACAGAATTTCAATAAGTCTTAAAATCTATCACATTTCTACATAGAAAAGTGAAGTTATTATGAATAGCTGATGAAAAGATAAATCTCACAGATCTGAAATGATATTCATTCTCATAAATATGAAATGAGTTTTTCAAATGAATCTTACACAATTTTGAGAAAGTGAATATATAAGATAAGTGTTATAAATGCTTCACTGAGTGTAGATAAGTGAGTAATCTTACATTATACTTTATATACTTCAGTTTACACTATCTTATATTGAATAAAGAGCTTTCAATATCTTTCTGTTTACAGATCTTTATTCATAATCTTACACCTGAGTTAAGAGTGAAATGAAAATGCTTAATCTCATAGTTAGACACAGTGAAGAAAGCATATAATATTCTCATTATATAGAAACAAGTGAGTCAATTATAACAGAAAATACTGTAATTAAGTATATCTTAACAGAGAACAGATAATCAGACTTCTATGATACAAGTCACATACTCAGATATAATGAATCTAGATTTGAATATCATTGCTAAAGCACTAAATTCTCTGAAAAAGAGATTCTCTGAGTGAAAATCTTGATATTA